GGGAAAAACCAAAGAAAAAAGTAAAAAAAAAAAAACAAAAGCTGACCCCCATGAGAAAATTTTTTTTTTTTTTGTTTTATTCCCAACAGTGTTTTTAGATTTGTATTGGTGGATAAAAGGTTGATGGGTAGGCCCCAGGATGTCGTTTTGGGGGGGCAAATTATATGGATCATTATTTTTGTAGCTAAGTTAGAGAAAGAGGTAGATGGGAAAGAGGAAGGTGGCAACAACAAGAAAGGGGGAGGTGAAAGTGTATAAACAAAGGGAGGAGGAAGTTCGGGCGAGATATAAAATATTGGCAGAAAGGTGGATGTGCAAAGAGAGTAAGGGGGGGGTTGAAGGGGTTTGGAATGTTTAAAAATGCAGTATTAAAATGTGGGGCAAAGTTTGTGGTTATAGGGGGGTGGGTGCGGGAAGGGGGAGTGATTGGGGGAATGTGAAGTAAAGGGTTGATAAAAGAGAAAAAAAGGTAGTTTGAGAGGTTTTTACAAAGCAGAAGTTTTAAAAGAAGAGCAGAATATATGGGAGTAAAAGAAAGGTAAAAAGAGTGGGGAGAGAGTGCAAAAGGAGAGCAGATGATAGGTGGGGGAGGCACTGTCAAGAAATTTTAAATTTAAAATAAGAAAAAAATTTTTTGGGGTGAGTTAAACAAGTTAAGAAAGCCAAGGGAAAAAATTGGGTTTGTCAGTTAAAAACAGATTGGGGAGTTAGTTGAAAGGGGGGATGGAGGTATTGGGTAGTGGCGGAAAATTTTGAGGAAATTTTAAATGTTAAGGGAAAAAACAGAGGCGTAATTTCATGCATGGTCGGGGGTATCCATCTTTTGGAGTGAAGAAGAGCAGAATGTAAGTGTGGGGGAGGTAGGAGGCATTACGTAAATGAAAGGGGGTTTAAAAACAGCTGGTATGATGGGTCATGACAGAAATGTTAAAAGCAGGGGGGGGGATATTTGTGTTTGGGGTGGTTGGTCTTTTGTTCAATAAATGTTGAAAGAGGGGAAGGGACCCAGGGGTTGGGGGGAGAGCTGTATTGTCCTTTATATAAAGGGAAAGGGGAAAAAGGCTGAAAAAAATTTTAGAGGAAAAGCTTACTGATATACCGGAAAAGTGTACGGTGGGTTATAATTGAAAGAATTAGGGTAAGCAGAATGTAGGTTGCGGATGAGCAAGGAGGGTTTTGAGTGGGGGGGGGATGTGTAGTCAAGTTTTACATTGAAGTATATTGACAGTATTTTGATAAAGGTAGGGAAATTTTTATTGCATTTTTGGATTTAGAAAAAAGGGATTTGATGGTGGAAGAGGACAATGTGGCAGATGTTGCAAGTATATGGAATGGTGGTAATTATTAAATGCTGTAAAAAGTTTTTTTTGAAGATAGTGGGCTCGGTTTTGGGGGTGTGAAGAGGGGAGCTTTTCCCGGTAAAAATAGGTCTTAGACAGGGGTGTGTAATGTACCATGGTTGTTTTAAAATATTTATGATGGGGTTGTTAAGGAAGTAAATGCTAGGGTGTTTGGGAGAGGGGTGGGGTTAATTTTTGGGGGGAAACAAATTCAAAATGGGGGAATTGACACGTTACTTTTTGTGATGATCTGTGTTATGGGAGATTCTAAAGAAAAATTGCAAAAGGGTTTGGGATGAGTTTGGGAATGGTGTAAAGGTTAGAAAGTTTTAAAATGAAATGAAAAGAGTAAATGATGAGGGTTTTCAAATGATTTTGTAAAGAAAAATTGGATATCAAATTGGGAGGGGAGTATGGGAAAAGTGAAAGTTTTTAGATACTTGGGGTTGCGTTTTCGGCGGGTGGATTTAGAAAGGGTGAGGTTAATCATAGAATTGATTTGGGGGAAAAAAGGTGAGTGGTGCGTTGAGGTATATGTGGAGTCAAAAAAAGTTATTATGGGGGCAAAGAAAGGGGAAGAGAAAGTATGTAGTACCAACACTTTATATGGGGGGGGAAGCTTGGGTGGTAAACGCAGCGAGGAGACGGTTGGAGGCAGTGGAGATTCCTTTTAAGGGCAATGTGGGTGTAAAAATTATGCAGAAAATTCGGAGTTGGAAATTAGGAGAAGGTGTGGAGTTAATAAAGTATTGTCAGAGGGAAAAGAGGGGGTTTTTGAGGTGGTTTTGGGATTTTGAGGAATGGATCAAAGTAGAAAGACATGGAAAACATATAAATCTATGGGGAAGGAAAGGGGGGTGGGGGCGTCCCCGAAAGGGTTGGGGGAGGGGGGGTAAAGGAGGTTTTGTGGGTAAGGGGCTTGGACTTCCAGCAAGCGTGCGGGCGTGTTGATGGAGTGAATGGAGACGAATGGACTTGGGACCTGACGACTGTTGGAGTGTGGCGGGGATATTAGTGAGGGATTCAGGGAAAAAGGGTTTTTTTCATTTGTCGGATTGAGTCCTGGAAAAGGGAAGTAAAAGCTGCACTTTAAAGGAGGGGTTTGGGTATTGCGTTTGGAGGGTATGTTGGTTTTTTTTATGTATGCTTCTAGACTGTTGTATTCTGAGCACCTCTGCAAAAACAGTGATAATGTGCGAGTGTGGTGAAAGTGTTGAATGATGATGAAAGTATTTTCTTTTTGGGGATTTTCTTTCTTTTTTGGGTCACCCTGCCTCGGTGGGAGACGGCCGACTTGTTGAAAAAAAAAAAAAAAAAAAAAAAAAAAAAAAAACCACAGTAAAATATATTCTTTTAATCTACAAGTTTTTTTTTTTGGGGTGGGGTGGGAGGTTAATTTCTAGACCTTGAGAACAAGTTTCTGATCAGGGGTCTGGACCGTGAAACAGTTAATATAAAGTTGATCAGAATTGTACCTTTTAAGTGAACAAACAAAAAAAATTCTTTTCCTCTCAACAACAAACCTCAATATTAAAAATGAACAAATTATCAAAGAGTGAAGAGCAAAAAGGCACAACACCACTACTTTGTACAGTGGAACCTAAAAAATCGAACTGCTCCCAACACGACCAATTATGTAAGTGTATTTTTGTAAGTGCTTTTATAAGTGTATTTTTGAGGGTCTGAAATGGACTAATCTAATTTACATTATTCCTAATGGGAATAAATTAATTCGGTAAAGGCACTCGAACAGCCTTCTGTACCGAAGAAAGTTCGATATTTGAGGTTCCACTGTATATGGTACAAGTCGGACCGAAACATCATCGTAAGCGCCTGTCTCTTACATGTGGGTCATGTGTGTATCAGAGCGGAATCCTACAAAATTTCTTTAGCAGTGTGGAAATGATTCTCTTCACCATTCTGCTTGGTGTGCTATAATTCATTTCCAGTTTTTTAACCCCTTGAGGGTCCGTGCCATAGTTCTATGGCGTTGAAGCCAGGATCAGTGCTGTAGTACTATGTCATGATCTCAGCTCACTCAGATAAGCTGTGTGCAGTAAATTTGGGCCTAGATATGAGAAAATGGGTCTACGAGGTAAGTGTGTGCCCTACAAAAAAAACCCACAGTACAAAATGAGAAAAAAACTGCAACCATGTTTTTTGGATTAAAACAGAAACTTTGCGGTGTATTTCTGTATGTTTTTTATGTGCAAGAATGGTATATAATACCGACAAGATGAAATTAAGACACGTGCAACATCTGGGTATCTTTATTGTAGACGTTTCGCCATCCAGTGGCTTTATCATGTACATGTCCTCAGAATCAAGATTCCATGATGTTGCAGTGTCTGACAAGTTGTCAGACACTGCAACATCATAGAATCTTGATTCTGAGGACATGTACATAACCTTCACGACTACGGCAACTACTACTACAACTAACCCATCTCTTTGGGAAGGACCTACTTCCACTGGGGAATCCCACCTACCAGTGACTATGCCCTCGTCTGCTACACCTGACGTTACTATATAAGCGCCAGGCTCCTTGCTTCTGCTTCAGAATCTCCACGACTATGGTTCTCTTCGCACCTACTCCTAGATTAAGGGACTGATTACCTCATCTTCTGTATGTAGTCCTACTGTCTTCAAGCTATGTCCTAGAATTTGTATTGATAAAGCCACTGGATGGCGAAACGTCTACAATAAAGATACCCAGATGTTGCACGTGTCTTAATTTCATGTTTTTTACGGTTGTATTCGCAGTTTCTTAAACTTATTTGATAGAATGGAACAAATATTACAGAAATAGAGATAATTTTGATTGGTTTTAGGAATGAAAACTGCTTGAAATTGAGCTCAAAGTAGCAGAAATGTTCAATTTTTGCCAATGTTTGGGAGTAAACATATCACATCACGCGTCTAGTACACGTCAACTGGTGGGTCTAATGTGAGTTCATGAATGCACTGATATTATTTAAACAATTATTACAATATTGCATAACAGTAAATCTTCTATTTTTTGGTGTGACTAAAAATTTCTTATGAATAAAAAATCAAAATGGAATCTGTGTGTAAAGCCTGGAACTGTAACTAATGAACAGAGGAAATGTCATTTTAGTGCCAGGAATGCCTGCATTGTTTATTTTGAACCCTATTTTGAAAGTGGAATATTTTGAAATTTGTGTGAAATTGGCCAAATTACCAATTTTTGATCGCTTTATTGTGCAGTTGAAATAGTTGACTGGGTGGTTTCTTGTGCTCAATCAATAAAATAGAAGGCACACTTGTGAAATAGCAAGAATCTGGTTGACTGGAACAATGTAATTAGCCTAAAATAGGAGTCAAAGTGGACAAAAATCAACGCTATGTAAATATCGCTGATGCAGCAAAATTTGCAAAAGCATAATTTCGTCAATTTTCCATCAAATTTGGTACTTTTTGTTTTATTACCTTCAGAAAAAGATTCTCTACCAATTTACAAGAAAAAATTAAAAATTTTTTTTAGACAGGGATGTGGACCCTCAATTCATTAATTATCTGACAATGACAACTGAGCATGAAGCCATTATGGCCAATCACAATATAAATGAGACCACAGTTACCATTACAAAGAAGTACATGAACTTCATAAATGAGGTCGTTTCAATAACAGTGACTATGGAAAAATATTCAGCATAAACAATTATTTCACTAGTGTACAATAAACTTTCAAATATTATTTCATTGGTATACAATAAACTTCAAGTATCACTGAACCTATGAAAACAACCTTGACATAAATCATCAGTGTACCGGAGTACAATATTCTCAGAGCTGGACTTCGATTAGTAACATGATCATAACAAACAGTATACAAATTATTTACAATAAATTATGACTTATGTCAAGAAGAGAGTGGTCAACTAGGAGAATGATAAGCAGAAAAGCAGTCTCTTACCTTGGACTGATGTGTTTCATCAGACTAGCTGCTGTGGTATCTCCTCATCAACTAGTGAAGCATCTTATGAATCTTGAGAATTTTCCCTAATCGCTGCTTAGCTGTTGCCATGCCCTTTCTGGGTTTGTTAGAAACTGAAAACCATTTAATGTGTGTTAATCACACACTGCCAATCACACATACACAAAAAATAAAGGTTATACAGTGGGCCCCTGGTTTTTCTCCTTAATCCATTCCAGAAGGTCGGTCGAAATCCGAAATGGACAAAAACCAAAGTACAGTGGAACCCCAGTTTACGATATTATTTCATTCCAGAAGTATGTTCAGGTGCCAGTACTGACCGAATTTGTTCCCATAAGGAATATTGTGAATTAGATTAGTCCATTTCAGACTCCCAAACATACACATACAAATGTACTTACATAAATACACTTACATAATTGGTTGCATTGGGAGCTGATCGTAAACCAGGGGTCCACTGTAATATTTCCCATAAGAAATAATGTAAATCCAATTAATCCTTTCCAGACACCAAAAAATATTAACAAAAAAATACATTTATAGAGAATAACTATAGTTTTACATACAGAAAACAATGAGAAATAAATATAAAGCACTAATGAAATGGATAAATGAACATTTAAATCACTTTTATTTTTACTGAAGACTCTTGTTGGCGTATGGAAGACAGCGAGGAGGGGAGAGAAAGGAGAGGTTATCTCGACCACCATCACTACTGCCCTCTACCACAATCACAACCACTACTGCCCTCTACCACAATCACAACCACTACCACCCTCTACCACAATCACAACCACTACCACCCTCTACCACCATCACTACTACCACCCCTACCACAATCACTACCACCATCACAACTACTACCACCCTCTATGAGTAACAAAGGCAGACCGAGTCATGTACATGTGAGCAGGGCCATGTCCCGGGCAGGTGGACGCATCTCATACGGACGATTTCCAAGCAGAGGTACGAAACCCATGGTAAAAATTCGCCAAAAAAAGTAGTCAAAATCCGAACTGTACAATATCTGTACTGGACGAAATGCGGGGATCAACTGTATATAAATTTAACCTAGGTAGTAGATTGGTAGACAGCAGCCACCCAGGGAGGTACTACCATCCTACCAATAAAAATATATTTTACCAAGTTAAGAATTTTTACCACAAATATACCCAGAGCAATATCCCCATAATACAAGCGCAAGCTATTCCCCCCCCCCCCCCCAGAAAATGTGAAAAAATGATCAAAAACAAGAAAAAAAACCTTTGGAAATTAAAACGTTTGTTGTTACTGTTGGTTTTTAAAGGGTTGTGGTGGGCCAAGGGTCGTTTGTTTGGTTTAAACAATATTTGAACAAAAATGAAAAATTTTAAAAAAATAATTTAAAAAACCTGTCAAAAAATTTTTTCCTGGGTTTTTTTAAATTCGAAAAAATTAAAAAAATTTATTTGGGAAAAAATAAATTTTTCTTAAATGTTGGGAAGTTTTTAAAGAATTTTTTTTGGGAAAATTAAAAATTTTCTTTCATTAAAAAAAAACATTTTAAATATTTTTTTTTAAAAACCCTTAAATTTTAAATTTTTTGCAATTAAACCGTTTTAAAAAATTTCCACGAAAACCAAAAAATTTTATTTAAATAAAATAACCCTTAAACCCATTTTCAAAAAAACCGTTCGAATCAAATTCTAGGAACTTTAATAATATAAACAAATTTTTTTTTGTAATACTTTATTTTTTTTATTTTTTTTTTAGTTTTTTTTCTTTTTTGGAGACGAAAAAGAAGGGTTTTTGGAAAACACTGTTCACACAAAAAATTTTTTTCCAAAAATTTTCAAAAAACCCCCCCCTTAATTAAAATCAATCATTATTTTTTTTTTTTTTTTTTTTTGGGGTTTTTGGGGGGGGTGTTGTGGGGGGGTTTTTGGGGGTGGGGTTTTGGGTTGGGGTTGGGGGTTTGGTTTTTGGAAAAATATGAATAAATTTATAAAATTTTTTAAAAATTTTTTTAAATATTTTTTTTATTTTTTTATATAAGGGACCCCCAGGAGGTCCCCCAAAAAAAAAATTTTCCCCCATATTTTTCCAAAATTCGAGAAATCTTTAAACAAGAAAACTAAATTTTCCCCCCCTTCGATGGGAGTTTTTCCCACCCCGGAAAATCCGGTCCGGTTTTGAAATTTTTAAAAAGTTTTTGAAATCGAAGTAATAAAAAACTTTTCCCTTAAAATTTTTTAAAAACCCCCATGCTAAAAAAACCCCCTTTTCGAAAAAAATTTTAAATTAATTTAGGCGAAAAGTTTTAAAGGAAATTTTGAAGTTTTTTGTTTGATTTTAAGGAAACCAATAATTCTACCCTTACAATTTTTTTTAAAAACCCGCCCCCTTTTAATTAAAATTTAATTTCCCCTTTTTTTTAAAAACCACACCCCCCCGTACTCCCACCCCCCCGGGTTCCCTGGGCAAATTCTCCCCCCCTTAAATATAAGAGGGGTTTTAAACAAAATTTTCTCTCATTTCTTTGTTTCCAAAGGAAAAAGTTTTTTTCCCCCAAAAATTAAGGAACCCCCCCCCTTTTTCAAAATTTTTTGAAAATAAAACCCAGTAAAAAGTATAAAATTTTTGAATTTTACCTTATTTTTTCCCCCCCCTAAATCTGATTTAATTTTCAACAAACTTTTTACCCTCATAACTTCCCCTTTTTCCCTTATTCACTTTAATTTTTTCTTTTGCCCCTACCAATCATCCCAAAACTCGGGCCTTTTTAAATTTTTTAAAAAACGTGTTAAAGGGCACTTGGCAACCCCAATTTGGTTGTTTTTTATTTTTTTTTTCCCCCTCGGGAAAAAACCCGATTTTTTTTTAAACCCCCCTTATAAATTTTCAAAGGGAACCCCCCAAATCTTGTTAAGGCCTATTTAAGGAAAAAAATTTTTTTTCCAAAAATTTAACAAACCTTCCTACCTCAAAAAATTTCAGGTTTAATAATCCCCTTCCCCCAAAATTCAAATTAATTTCCCCCCTTATTTAAAAAACCCTTTTTAAAAATTTAAATCCCAAAGCCCTTTTCCCAAATTAAAATTTTTACATATTTTTAGAAAAACCCTTACAAATTTTAAAGCCTTTTTAAAATCTGCTATCCCTTTCCCCGTCAAACCAATTTTTCAATTATACCTCCCATCATTTTCCCCGGGCCCCTCAAAACTTTACCCCCAAATTTTTTGATTTTTTTATTTTCCTTTATGGAAACTTATTTTAAATTGGTATTATTTTACTTTAAAAAATTTTGAAAATTTAAAAATTTCCCCCAGTTTTAAAACATTTCATTTTTTAAATCCCCAAAAATTTCCCCCCCTTTACCCCCTTTTTTACCAGTCGAACCCCCCCTTAAATGGTTTTTTTGGGTGTTTTTTTCCCCCTATAAAGTGTTTTTTTTTTTTTTTTTTTTCCCTTTTTATTTTATTATTTAAAAAATTTTTATTAAATAATTAATTTTTAAAAATAAATAAAAAATTATTTATATATATATATAACAAACATTATATATATATCATGTAAAAGAGTAAAAAAAAGGTAAAGAGAGGGGTGAGAGAGTGAAAAAAGGGAGAAAATAGGGGGGAGGGCACTGTAAAGAAATTTTAATAAAAATAAAAAAAAATTTGGGTGAGTTAAAAAAGTTAAAAAGCCTGGGGAAAATGGATTTGCGTTAAAAACAGAGTGGGGGAGTTAGTGAGGGGGGAATGGGGTATTGGTAGTGGCAATTTTTTGAGGAACTTTTAAATTTAAAGGGAAAAAACAGGGGCAGTTTTCATGATGGTCGGGGGGGGAAACCATCTTTTAGGAGTGAAGAAGAGCAGAATGAAAGTGTGGGGGGGACGGAGGCATTAAAAAGAAAGGGGGTTTTAAAACAGCTGGAAAATGATGGGTCATGACAAAATGTTAAAAAACGGGGGGGATATAGTGTTGGGGGGTTTGGTACTTTTGTTTTAAAAAATGAGAAAAAGGGGGGAAGGGCCAGGGTGGGGAAAGCTTTATTTTTTAAAGGGAAAGGGGAAAAAGAATTAAAAAAATTTTAAAAGGAAAAACCAAAAATTTCCGGAAAGTTATGGGGAAATTGAAAAAATAGAGGGACGGAAGGTTGGGGGGAAGGAGGTTTTTGGAGGTGGGAAAAGGTAATTGGTGACTTTAGAAAAAGTGAAAAAATTTTTTTAAATTTTGGAATTTTTAGCATTTTGGGTTTTGAAAAGGGGTAGAAATGGGAGGGCAATTGGCAGTTGAAGTTATAATGGGGTAAATTTTTAAAATGTAAAAAGTTTTTGGGAAAATACCATTTTGGGGGGGGGGGGGAACCCCCCTTGTAAAATTTGCAGGAGGAAAGTAACCCGGGTTTTTTAAAATATTTTAGTGGGGTTTTTAAGGAAGTAAAAGCAGGGGGTTTGGGAGGGGGTGGGATTAAATTATGGGGAATCAAATTCAAAAAGGGGAATTTAAAAAAGTTACTTTTTGCTGATGATACTGTGCTTATGGGAGTTCTAAAAAAAAATTGCAAAGGTTAGTGGTGAGTTTTGGGAAAGTGGTAAAGGTAGAAAATGAAAGTGAAAATAGAAAAGGTAAGGTGATGGGGTGTCAAAAAGATTTAGATAAAGAAAAAAAAAGGTATCAAAAGGGGAGGGGGAGTAGGAAAAGTTTTAAAATTTTTCATCGGGATTGAGGTTGGGGATGATTTAAAAAGGTGGGTTTTCTTTGATTATGGGGAAAAAAAGTTTTCTTTAGGAAGGGGTCAAAAATTATTTTAAACAAAGGGGAAGTTGGTAAAAGAGAAAACCTTTTAAGGGGGTGAGTTTTGTAAAAAAAAGGGGCAAGGGGGGATTTGGGGATTTGGGGGTGTTTTTGGGAATTTTGGGTAATAATGGAAAAATTCGGGGGGAAAAAAAAGGGGGGGGGGGGGGGGGGGGGGAGGGGTTGTTGAGGTGGTTTGGTCTTTTTGAGAGAATGGATCAAGTGAATACAGGAAAGATATAAATCTATAGGGGAAAGGAAAGGGGGGTAGGGGGCGTTCCCCGAAAGGGGTTGGGGGAGGGGGTAAGGAGGTTTTTGGGTAAGGGGGTTGGCTTGCAAGCGTGCGTGAGCGTGTTTAAAAATTTGAGTGAAGGAGACGAATGGTCTTGGGGGCTGGATTTTTGGAGGGAAAGGGGAAATTTAGGAAGGGTTTTTTAAAAAAAAGGTTTTTTTAATGTTTTTTTTTTTTTTTAAATACAATCCGCACTTTAAAGGAGGGGTTTGGATATTTGGAGTTTGGGGGATTGTTGTGTATCTTTTTACGTATTGCTTCTAAGCTGTTGTATTCTGAGCAAACCCCGCAAAAGCAGTGATAATGTGTGGTGGGGAAAGTGTTTAATGATGATAAAGTATTTTTTTTTGGGGATTTTCTTTCTTTTTTTTTGGGGAAACCCTTTCCTCGGTGGGGGACGGCCACTTTTTGAAAAAAAAAAAAAAAAAAAAAAAAAAAAAAAAAAAAAAATTATATAATATATTATATATATTATATATTTATATATATATTATTTATATATATATAATATATTATTTTTTTTTTTAAAAATTTTTAAAACTAAAAAAAAAAAAAAAATTTTTCTTTCCTTTTTTTCCCCACATAAAAAAAATGCGGGGGGGCAAGGCCCCCCCCATTTTATTTCCCCCCCAAAATGGGAGGGGAAAAGTTAATTCCCCTGGAATAGCCCCTCCCACCCCAACAGGGTGGGCCCAAAATGAAAACCCCAAAAGAAAATTTTCTTTTTCCAGCCCCTTTACCCAATTTTTTTTTTTTTTTTTTTCCCAAAAAGAAAAAAAAAAATAATTTTCAAACACCATTTTTTTCTTTTTTCAGGAAGGTAAGTTTTGCAACCCAACTTTAATTTTATTAAAAAATTCTTAACTAAAATTAGCCCTTATTAAAAAAATTTTTCCCCTTTAAATTTTGCCTTTTAAATTAATAAAATTTTTCCTAACATGGGGTTTTAAAGGGAAAAAAAGGAGAAAATGGGGGTTGAAACCCCCTTTTTCCTCTGTTAAAAAAATTTAAAAAAAAAAAATTTTGTTTTCTTTTTGGGCCCCCTTTTCCCCAAAGGGGAAAAAAAATTTTTTTGGGGTTTTTTTCTTTAAAAACCCGTTTAAAGAAAAAAAGTAAAATCTTATAAACTTGAAAAATGGAAGGAATAAGGTTTAAAAATATAAAACTTGAATTTAAATTTGGATAAATTTACTAGTTTTCAATTTGAAAAATATAAAAAAATTAAAAAACCATGATTATTAAAAAGGAAACTGTAATTTTTTACAAATTTTGTATTTGTTATAAGAATTTTTTATTATAAACGGTTTAGTGGGTCTATGAACTTCAAAAACCCCAAAAACATCATGGCGGTGCCACAAGATTATCCCTTCACTCTTTCATTTTCAGTACTGTACTTCGTACACTTTATTATCAGTCACTAACATATTCAACATCTGTATAAATACATTTAGTGTAAGTGAATGACTTAAATTTGTAGCTATAGTGAAAATGTCAGTTATTAGAGTTCCTATACTCTCTTTTAGTTATATTTCTCTAAAATTTTTGCAGTCATAAATGACCATTATGGTATCATGATTTAAAAAAATGTAAATTTTTCAATCTTGTAGCAGAAATGTACTAAATGATCATGTCTTAACCAATGACCTACTGTATGAGGCAGTATTTAGTTGGTAAGCAGCAGCAATCCAAGGAGGTTCTACTGCTCTGTCATACAAGTACAAAACAGAAACCCATAAAATGTTTGGTACCCTGGCTGGATTGCTGATCTGTTCTTTCTCACAAACACATGAGACAGGTGAATCTTAAGCTTTTACTTACAATCAGAATACACTTACCATATCTTTACTTTTCTATATGTTTCTCATATAGTTCTTATTCATATAATATTTGTTTTTCAACCTTGGAAGCTTGGTCTGAGATCAGGCCATACAGACAACAATCCCCCAGAAACATAAGTAGATATTACAGATATAATCTCATACTCACGCTTATTAATTCCCTTTAGGCCGGCAACTCCTGAGGAGGTACTTGGTTGACATTCTAAGGTTCGCTGTTTTTTTCTATGGTATGCCCTCTTAGCAGCCTGTATGGAAATATTAGAGTGAAATTAAGAAAAATATTTGTAACCTTAAAATAATCTGTAACCTTTTGAACTAATGTTATCTTAATCCTAACAATGGACAAGACATATGCAGGCTGAGGTTTCTGAATGAATAAGCTTTTTTCATTATACAGTGGACCCCCGGTTTACGATATTATTTCATTCCAGAAGTATGTTCAGGTGCCAGTACTGAACGAATTTGGTCCCATAAGGAATATTGTGAATTAGATTAGACCATTTCAGACCCCCAAACATACACGTGCAAATACACTTACATACATGTAATTGGTCGCATTGGGAGCTGATCGTAAAGCGGGGGTCCACTGTACATGAATTAATATAATTAACCCTTTGAGTGTCGAGATTCCTGCTCGCAAACTTAGTGATAGTGTCAAAGACTTAAAAAAAAATCTCATGAAATGATAGAGAATCTTTTTCCGATGATAATGAAACCAAAAGTTTCAATGTAAAAGTATCAAAAAAATTATTTTAGACAACGGGACTTACTGGCAAGTTTTGTCTTCTTGCTGCTGCCTGCTCCAGGCCCTTCTCTACTGCTTGTCTTCTAACCCCTTGCCTCATGGGACGCTCCGGTCGTGGACCCTGAACCCGTACACGAGCCTTGGGATTCCAAGCTTCGTCTTCTTTCTTTTTTCCCCGAGGTTTGAACACGGGAAAATCTTCATCATCAGATATATCAAGAGTTGGATACACTGTAAAAGCAATTTTTAATAATTATTTTTTGTTTGTCAATTTATTTTTCTATGGTGGTGGCCACAATATTCATTATATCCAGCCTGCAATATCTCTCTTACGTACTTATCCAAATATACCTCACGACTGATTTTCATCATATTCATTATCTGCACTTGACCAATCATCATTATCTGCACATGATCAACCATTCATTATCTGCACATGATCACTCATTCATCACTATCTGCACATGATCAATCATTATCTGAACATGATTAATCATTCATCATTCTCTTCATATAATTAGTCACCTTTTTCTACACAGGATCAGTGATGCATCATTTTCTACACATAACCATGATGCATCATTTTCAGCACAGGATCAATGAGTTATCCTTCTTTGGATAAGGTCAATGATGCATTCCACACGAACATTCTGCATCATTCTCCTCACAGGACCTACCTACCATGAACTGGTCTCCTCTCCTAATAAGATATCACTACCATTATCTGCTACTCCATACATTTTAGTACTTCCTAACAGATTGTAGTGTGTCATCTACCACTGCAACACCAGGTTTATCTCTAAAAATGTTTGATTGAACAGCTTAAATTCCAAAATTGTTCCTCATTCCATGATCATATCTAACTCTTCCAGGTCAAAATTAGTATTTGTATAGTATTCCACAATTACTGTCATTTTTTTTTTTAAACCCACTGGCCAAGGGTGACCCCCCCCAAAAAAAAAAAAAATCACCATCATTCATACAAAATCATTGTCTTTGAAGAAGAGCACAGATATGACAGTTCAGATGTCACTAAACAGCATATATTCCAAATACCACCTTTAAAGTGCAGGAATTGTATTTCTCACCTCCAGAACTCAAGTCTGATTAACCAGACTTGTTCTTAATCCTGCTGTTATATTTCACTACTCTCACAATACCAATTACTGTCATGAGGTAGGACAAAAGCTCTTATCCTGCAAATTCAATGGCATAAAAACCTATACAATATACAAACTGGTAAACTTTGTCCAATGCTTCACAAATGGAGGAGAAATATGGGTAGATGTGGTGACACCCAAAGTAAGCCAGCAGTAGTGACACTTAATACTGGGCATGGTCTCCATTAAAAAAATGAGAGTGTGGGGGCAGATACATTAATGGGGACAGAAAAAAAAAAGAAGCAAATGCTGGATATGAGATGTGCAGATTGCAGCCCCAAAAACACAGTAGTAGTACAGTCTTTAATCATTTCAAGCAAAACAGAATGCAGTACATTTTATCTTAGATGAGAAATGAGATGCTGAAAAGAAAACTGACAAACTGACCAGAGAAAGAAAATTGTTTTCTCTATACTAAAATGTTCATCATTCTTTCAGGTATCATATACATCACTCAGATTGGCGAGTTCATCATGTTTATCTTGCCTTTTCCTCTCAAGATTAAAGGGGTTTGACCATATGGTCAAACATTCAAAAACAGTGATTTGGATCTCTAGAAAACCAATGAACTCACCCTACCACATTAAAGTTCATTAAGTCTGCTTTAAAATGACAACTCATTGATCAAAATTGTATGGTTCATTACTGAAATATTGTTGCAAACACCTTTCAATAGTCTGTAGACCATATTCTCAAAAGTGACATTTGGCGAGTTTGTCAGTTTTCTTCTCAGTGCTTCAAATACGACATGAAATGGTTGGTGTGGGGGAGGGTACGAGGGGTTGGGAAAAGGTATTGGGGGGAGGGATTAGGGGTATGGGAGAGGTGCAAAACAGCACTGATGTAGACAGTATTTTTCTTACAGCATGAAAGGGAACAACTAGGTTTAAGCCACACTAACCATATGCTGTACTGGATAGCCTTAGTTTTCATTTACATTAAGAGAAAATATGTTACACATTTTAATTTGTATGAAAAATATGCTAAAAAGTGTTGCAAGGAGCAACAATACACTAAGCACTACTAGACCACTGAGTACTGTGCCCTACTTCCTGCCACACACTTGATTGTGCTTTTCTCTAGCAGTAAAAAACAAAATAGTGCAGCTTCTCCAATGTCATCTATGGTGAATGTCTGATACAGTGTAGCACCACCTTTTTAGTAATAATTCCCAGCAAATGGTAGAAATTTGAGAGTATTCACACCCAATTCGTCTGACCCACACTGAAAATTTATAAACAAGAAGTGACAAAACAGGGTAAGATGACCAACTGTTACACAAGATTCTCCTGATTTCATTGCTGTACATACAATGCGATTATGTGTGAGGTGAAAGTGTTGAATGATGATGAAAGTATTTTCTTTTTGGGAATTTTCTTTCTTTTTGGGTCATTCTGCCTCGGTGGGAGACGGCCGACTTGTTAAAAAAAAAAAAAAAATTACAATGTGGTAACAGAGGAAGGTAAAACACTCAGCATTGGTTGCTTGTGTTCCATTCAACTCTCTAATCTTGCAATATAAGCAACACTGCAATCTTCCAATTCAAGAGCTTGCCTTTTAAAATATAAAAACTCACGTTAACAAATATCCTCTTGCAGTTTTATAAAAATAGGCAAACACTGTACATACAGTTTAGATAATTACAATTATGTGGCCCTATTCATACAGTTCTAAATATGGTGCTGGTTGTCCTTCCCTTATGCAGCTGTTGTATGAAAATGGCAATAACAGTGGCAGTGGTAAAAGCACCAAATATAACGAACAATAGTTCAACTGACAGTGTCATGGTACTCCTCCTTTATGCAGGTGGCTTTTACCACAATTTATAACACTAATATATGCTATATACAGCTTTGAAGCCTTTCTCTGTCCATATACAATTTTGTTTATATGATTTTCTGTTGACAATTGTTTGTTAATAATAACTCCTAGATCCCATTCTCCTTCTGATACTCAATAGTTTATCACACAGTCTACATTCTTTATGAAGCCTGAGTTCACTCGCTCCCATTTCTGTTACATGACATTTATCTACACTAAATTTTATCATGCATCTATCACACTATTCAATTTATCCATGGTCATCCTGAAGAAATTTATAGTCATCTTTATTATTTCTTCTTACAACAAACCAGCTGTATCCCACCAAAGCAGAGTGTCCAAAAAAGAAAAACAAAAGCTTCTGTTTTTAACTTTAGTAATGTATACAGGAGAAGGAGTTACCAGCCCCTTGCTCCCAGCATTTTAGTCACCTCTTACAGCACGCATGGCTTACAGAGGAAGAATTCTGTTCCACTTCCCAACAGAGCTTTATTATTTATTGGACCTAAAATTTTTGCATCATCTGCAAATATTATCAAAGTGGTTTTTATTCCTTTTGGTCAATCATTCATACAAATTTAAAACATTACTGAGGCAATTACTGATCCTTTTGGCACCCCACGTGTAACATCTCCCCATGTTGACATATTTCTAATAACTGTTCACATTTTTCTGTCAAATGGAAAGTCTCCCATCCATTTTAATAAGAGGTGAACTCCAGCTCTTGGGATACTGCTATAATTACTCCCAACCATGATAGGCTTTCATGCCTAATTCTGAAGCCCTGTATTGATTTAGCCTCCACTATGTCTCATCATAATAGTACTTCTTAACACTGTATCTGATTATCTCACATATCTCATACAATGTGATCATAGCTACCTGAAGGGTTTCAGGGGAACCAGTTAGCTGGACTTGAGTCCTGGAGGTGGGAAATACAGTGCCTACATTCTGAAGGAGGGGTGGGGATATTTGCAGTTTGGAGGAGCATTTGAACTGTAGGATCAGCACATCTCTGGCAAAACAGTGATAGAGTGAATGATGGTGAAAAGTGTTTTTTTCTTTTTTGGGTCACCCTACTTTGGTATAAGACAGATGGTGTATTAAAAATAAATTATATTGGTAGGGAAGATGAGCTTCCCTGTACACCTCTTCAGTCAGTGTTATTAAGGCTGAAGTATTATTCACTAAATGTAAGACAAAGTAACATGGCACTCACAACTTACCATAATCTTCATCCTGATGCACTTTGCTCATGTTCTCATCATCATCATACCGTCGTCTGGGCTTGGGCTGGCGAGAATGGGCCGAATGTAATTTTCTGGAAGGTGTGCGTCCACCGGGAACAACACGGCTCATGCTCAGCATCCCTGCAATGGCTTCCCTAGTAGATGGTGAGGCCCGCCCACTCTCGCTACTGTCAAAAACAAAAAACTGAGTGTAACATGAGTTTTTTAATGTTTATAATACCTGACAACCTGTTGGAATGTAAGCAGGGTAATATTTTGTGAAGGGATTCAGGGAAACCAGTTAGCTGGACTTGAGTCCTGGAAAGGGAAAGTACAATGCCTGCACTTTAAAGGAGGGGTTTGGGATACTGGCAGTTTGGAGGGACATCTAAGTTGTCATATCTGAGTGCCTCTGTGATTATGTATGAGTGATGGTGAAAGTGTTGAATGATGAAAGTTTTTTTGTGGGTTTTCTTTCTTTGCGAGTCACCCTGCCTCAGTGGGAAACGGCTGAAGTGTTAAAAAAGAAAAAAAAATTATCTCCATGGGACAGTGGAACAGAACTCTTTCTCTGTAAGTCATGTATGTGGTAAGAGGCGGCTAAAATGCCGGAAGAAAGGGGTTAGTAACCCTTTCTGTATACATTACTAAATTTAGAAAAGAGAAACTTTCGTTTTTCTTTTTGGGCTACCCTGCCTCAGTGGGATATGGCGAGTTTGTTGAAAAAAGAAATACCTAATTCCCTCTGGACACTTCACTTAACAAGGAATTTGTTTACTGATTTGGTCTTAGGAACAGAACTCCATCATTAAGTGAGGAGAGGCTGTATATCCATTGTTCATTATGTTTAGCACTTGTTCTGTTTTTTTTAACATTTTTTGGCCTGATATGCTTAACAGCTGAGTTAGGGAAGGACGTCCAGCATCATTTTATTGTTGGAGATTCAGTTTCTTTACAAAATTTGTGCACTCTGCATGTCTCTGGCAATTTTCCATAGTTTCAAATGCTTTAAAGTTATTATGTACAGTAAGTATATTTAATATTTTTGTGTTAATGACATGTTTACACTATCATATGAGATAGTGTAACACATCAGGCTTTTATATGCACCTGAAAGTAAAAAAAAGGCTATGTTCCACTTTTTGGCGATTTTCGCTTCTTGGTGGGAGTCAGGAACCCAACCCACTGTATGAGTGGGGTCCTACTGCATAGTCACCTATTCAAAAATAAGGACTTCCCAAAAGGAACAGAACAGCAAAAATGTTTATCTGATAGTCATACAACGAATTATTGTAAAAGTTGTTTTCCTCAATTTTGCAAAAAAGTTACCTGTCGATGGAGTGCCCTTTTTTATGGTAACTTCAATTGTTTCTATCACTGTATTATTATGATAATGAAACATAATTGTGTGTGGTGCCTTTGAAAGAGAAGTGACAATGAGGCAGGACAAACTTACTCCAAGTCATCCATGCGTGCCGGAGAATCCTCATTGAAGTCTGGAGCATATGCAGAGGCCCTGAGGAGTTCATCAATCCCGTTGTGAGCTGTGTTGTGTGATGGAGCCACTTCAACTTCTTCAGCAACATCTACTGTCTCCCCACACACTACATCGGCACCAGTTACTAGAAAAGAAATAGTAATTAACAGAAAATAATGAACAATAACTTATGACACTTAATCTCTTCTAAAAAATAAATATTACTGTTAATTTTCTTTGATGGCCAAAGTTAAAATGATCATGTCAAATATATATTCTAATCTCTAAATGTTGATAATGTAATCAACAATTATTTTTTTTACCTCGAGCTGTCTTCCACCGAAGAAAGGAAACACATTCACTATCATTCACTCAATCACTGTCTTGCCAGACGTGTGCTGTCATCAAAATTCAAATGGCCTTTCACTGCAATATCCTCACTCCTCCAGGGTGCAGGCAATGACCTTCCCACTGCCAGGATTCAAGTTTGGCTAACAGGTTTCTCTGAATCCCTTCGTTAATGATACCTTACTCACACTCAAACAGTACATTCATTATCATCCATTGTATCAATTCATTTCAAATTTTTATAATTTTTTCTATCTCCACCACACTGAACACTATAGTATCACTATATTATTTACTACGGTAGGCCAACTGGTGTGAAAAGTTTACTGTTAGTTTATCTGACTTGCAAGATTGTATACTGGCAAGACTGGTGGATAATCAAGTCCCTAAAAATCTAAGCCTCCTTTACCCCCCCCCCTTCCAGCCATTCCTGGGACAATCCCCACCCCTTATCATCAACCCCAGATTTATAAACCTTGTCATCCTAACCCTCTCCCTCCTCTCTAAATGCCCAAACTACTTCAACAAACCCTCCTCAATCATTTGAATTATATCCTAGGTGATACTGTCTTTAAATTTCTACACTCCTAACCCTTTGACTGATATTCACATTGTTCTCAAACGTAACATTTCCACTGCCTTACTGATCCTTCCTGTTACAACATTCAAAAACCATGCTTTACACCCACACAAAGAAGTTAGTCCCACTAACCTCTGGTACATTCCCTATTTTGTTTTTTATGCCTCAACATAAAAATATCTTTCTACAGATACTTCAATACACCTCCCCCCTCCCTGGCTCCTCATCTATTATATAGTTCACCTCATCTTTCATAGATCCATCTGCTCATAAGTCCACTTGTAAACATTTGAGTATAATCAATTTTTTTTTTTTATTAACACATCGGCTAATTCCCACCAAGGCTGGGTGGCCAGAAAAAGAAAAACTTTCATCATCATTCACTCCATCAGTGTCTTGAAAGAGGGGTGCTTTACACCACAGTTAAAAAACTACAACATTAACACCCCTCCTTCAGAGTGCAGACACTGTACTTCCCATCTCCAGAACTCAAGTCTGGCCTGCTGGTTTCCCCAAATCCCTTCATAAATGTTACTTTGCTTACACTCCAACAGCACGTCAAGTATTAAAAACCACTTGTCGCCATTCACTCCTGTCAAATACGCTCACGCATGCTTGCTGGAAGTCCAAGCCCCTCGCACACAAAACCTCCTTTACCCCCTCCCTCCAACCCTTACTAGGCTGACCTCTACCCCACCTTCCCTCCACTACAGATTTATACACTCTCTAAGTCATTCTGTTTTGTTCCCCTCTCTCTACATGTATTAATGGAAGTAGGTTGGTAGACAGCAACCACCCAGGAAGGTACTACCGTCCTGCCAAGTGAGTGTAAAACGAAAGCCTGTAATTGTTTTACATGATGGTAGGATTGCTGGTGTCTTTTGTCTGTCTCATAAATATGCAAGATTACAGGTATGTCTTACTACTTCTACTTACACTTAGGTCACACTACACATACATGTACACGTTTATTTACACTCGTCTGAGTTTTCTTTGATTTTATCTTAATAGTTCTTGGTCTTATTACTTTTCCTTTTATATCCATGGGGAAGTGGAATAAGAATCTTTCCTCCGTAAGCCACGCGTGTTGTAAAAGTCAACTAAAATGCCGGGAACAATGGGCTAGTAACCCCTTTTCCTGTAAAGATTACTAAAAAGAATAAGAAGAAAATTGTCAAAGTGGGAAGTCTGAATGTGCGTGGATGTTGTGCAAATGATAAGAAAGAGATGATTGTGGATGTTATGAATGAGAAGAAGCTGGATGTCCTGGCTTTAAGTGAAACAAAGCTGAAAGGGGTGGGAGAGTTTCATGGAGAGGAATAAATGGGATTAGGTCAGGGGTTTCAAATAGAGTTAGAGCTAAAGAAGGAGTAGCAATAATGTTGAAGGATAAGATATGGCAGGAAAAGAGGGACTATAAATGTATTAATTCAAGGATTATGCAGAGTAAAATAAAGGTTGGATGTGAAAAGTGGGTTATAATAAGTGTATATGCACCTGGAGAAGAGAGAAGTGTAGAGAGAGAGAGAGAGAGAGATTTTGGGAAATGTTGAGTGAATGCGTGGGGAGTTTTGAACCAAGTGTGAGAGCACTTGTGGTTGGGGATCTCAATGCTAAAGAGGGTAAAAATGTTGTGGAGGGAGTAGTAGGTAAATTTGGGGTGCCAGGGGTAAATGTAAATGGGGAGCCTTTAACCCGTAAACGGTCCAAACGTATATATACGTTTTTTCAACATTTGAATGTAAAAAAAGTAGATCTTCTTTTTGTTTTTTTACATTTGAAAATGTGTAAAAAAAACTTAATCTACTTTTTTTTGTTATATTTGAAAATATGTAAAAAATACATAGATCTACTTTTGTAGCACTACACATGTGAACGTAGATCTGCTTGGAACGTTTACGGGTTAATTGAGCTATGTGTAGTAAGAGATTTGGTAATAAGTAATACATATTTTATGAAAAAGAGGATAAATAAATATACAAGGTATGATGTAGCACGTAATGAAAGTAGTTTGTTAGATTATGTATTGGTGGATAAAAGTTTAATGGGTAGGCTCCAGGATGTACATGTTTATAAAGGGGCAACTGATATATCGGATCATTATTTAATTGTAGCTACAGTTAGAGTAAGAGGTAGACGGGACAAGAGGAAGGTGGCAACAAGTAGGAGGGAAGTGAAAGTGTATGAACTAAGGGAGGAGGAAGTTCGGGTGAGATATAAGCGACTATTGGCAGAAAGGTGGGCTAGTGCAAAGATGAGTAGTGGGGGGGTTGAAGAGGGTTGGAATAGTTTTAAAAATGCAGTATTAGAATGTGGGGCAGAAGTTTGTGGTTATAGGAGGGTGGGGTGCAGGAGGAAAGAGGAGTGACTGGTGGAATGATGAAGTAAGGGTGTGATAAAAGAGAAAAAGTTAGCCTATGAGAGGTTTTTATAAAGCAGAAGTGTTACAAGAAGAGCAGAGTATATGGAGAGTAAAAGAAAGGTGAAGAGTTGTGAGAGAGTGCAAAAGGAGAGCAGATGATAGAGTGGGAGAGGCACTGTCAAGAAATTTTAATGAAAATAAGAAAAAATTTTGGAGTGAGTTAAACAAGTTAAGAAAGCCTAGGGAACGTATGGATTTGTCAGTTAAAAACAGAGTAGGGGAGTTAGTAGATGGGGAGATGGAGGTATTAGGTAGATGGCGAGAATAATTTGAGGAACTTTTAAATGTTGAGGAAGAAAGGGAGGTGGTAATTTCATGCACTGGCCAGGGAGGTATACCATCTTTTAGGAGTGAAGAAGAGTAGAATGTAATCGTGGAGGAGGTACGTGAGGCATTACATAGAATGAAAGGGGGTAAAGCAGCTGGAACTGATGGGATCATGACAGAAATGTTAAAAGCAGGGGGGGATATAGTGTTGGAGTGGTTGGTACTTTTGTTTAATAACTGTATGAAAGAGGGGAAGGTACCTAGGGATTTTCAACAAGTTGGCCGTCTCCCACCGAGGCAGGGTGACCCAAAAAAGAAAGAAAATCCCCAAAAAGAAAATACTTTCATCATCATTCAACACTTTCACCACACTCACACATTATCACTGTTTTTGCAGAGGTGCTCAGAATACAACAGTTTAGAAGCATATACGTATAAAGATACACAATATATCCCTCCAAACTGCCAATATCCCAAACCCCTCCTTTAGAGTGCAGACATTGTACTTCCCATTTCCAGGACTCAAGTCTGACTATATGAAAATAACCGGTTTCCCTGAATCCCTTCACTAAATATTACCCTGCTCACACTCCAATAGATCGTCAGGTCCCAAGTACCATTCGTCTCCATTCACTCCTATCTAACACGCTCACGCACGCTTGCTGGAAGTCTTGTCTAACTTATTTTTAAAGCAACACAAGGTTTTAACTTCAATGACACTACTTGGAAGACTGTTCCACTTATAAAGAAGGGGCCTAACTACAGTTTCTATTGGATACCAGGTTCAAGGTTACACACAACTCATTTGTAAGTTGAATCAACATGAAAGCAACTCCTTTGTAAGCTGGCTACCCTAGTAGTTATTCTAATTTCAAATGCAACACTTAGAGCATCAATGCAACACCTTATGCATCAATCAAACACCTACAGAATCAATTACATATCACTAACTTCAATGCAATACCTATAGCATCAATGCAATACCTTAAGCACCAAGCAAACACCTACAGAATCAATTACATACCGCCAGCTTCAATGCAATACCTATAGCATCAATGCAACACCTTAAGCATCAAGCAAACACCTACAGAATCAATTACAAACCACCAGCTTCAATGCGATACCTCTAGTATCAATGCAATACAGCTAGTATCAATGCAATACCTTAAGCATCAAGCAAACACCTACAGAATCAATTACAAACCACCAGCTTCAATGCAATACCTCTAGCATCAATGCAACACCTCAAGCTGGATCACTTGAAGTTCCTAGAATTATATTCCTTGGAGTGTAGGCAAGAAAAATGCATCATAATCTACACATGGAAGATACTGGAGGGATTGGCACAAAACCTGCACACCAAAATTACTACTTAGAAGACAGTGTAGGATACCCCCAATGAAAAATTCTTACCACCTAGTCACTCATGGTACTGTAAAGCTTATCTTTCCCTAGGGTATCTTTACCAATATATCTAATTACCAGAGTATCAAGATTGCTAGTAACCCCTTGTCCTGTATACATTATTAAATTTAAAAATAGAAACTTTCGTTTTTCTTTCAGCTCACCCTGCTTCGGTGGGATGCGGCCAGTTCGTTGAAAAAAAAAAATTAAGATTGATCATTCAAAGTGAGCTAGATGGTATAGTACTGACAATATTTCCTTCCTTAACCTGAGTTGCTGCTTTAATATGAAGATACATAAAATGAATGTCACTAACAAAGAAATGTGTCTAACTTTTTTGTACTACTGGAGTCACACAGGTTGTCCAGTCCATTTCTTAGTGGTTGAAATGCTGAATTATAAAAATATTTTTTTCCTCTTAGTGATGATTTTTCATTAACTACTTCGAGATCTGTGCATTAGAACTACATGATGAGCTCAGCTCACTCAGATAAGCAGTGAACGGTAAATTTAAGGCTAGATATGAGAGAATGGGTCTACATGGCGAGTGTGCACCATATAAAAGAAAATCCTGTCCCACGCAATGCATGATGGGAAAAAACTGTGGCTGTGTATTTGGTTTTATGGTTGTATTCTCTGTTTCTTGGTATTACTTGGCAGAAATGAAAATATAATACAGAAATAGACATGATTTTGATTGGTTTCAGGGCTGAAAGTAGCTTGAAATTGAACTCAAAGTAGGGGAAATGTTCAATTTTTTGCCAATATTTCAGAGGACACAAATTGCATCACTCATCCAATACATGTCCAACTGGTCACTCTAATATGCGTTCATGAATGTGCTGACACTATTTATAAAGTTATTTCAATAATGCGGTAGTCTGCATACCGGTAAATCTTCTATTTTTTTTGTGTGAATAAAAATTTAAAATGGAAAGCAAGTGTAACATAGGCAAAGCCTGGGGGGATGTAACTAATTAACAAAGGAAATATTATAGTGCCAGGAATATCTACACTGTTTATTCTGGACCCTATTTTGAAACTGACAGTTTTTTATTTTGTGTGAAATTGGACAAATTACCAATTTCTGGTCACTTTATTTAGTAGCTGAAATAGGTAAATGGGCAGTTTCTTGTACTTAATCAATAAAGTGGAAGGAATATTTGTAAAACAGCTATGAGTTTGGTCAACTGGAACAATGGAATTGGCTAAAATAGAACTTAAGTGGGGGAAATCGCCAATGTGCAAATACAGTGGACCCCTGGTTAACGATATTTTTTCATTCCAGAAGTATGTTCAGGTGCCAGTACTGACTGAATTTGTTCCCATAAGGAATATTGTGAATTAGATTAGTCCATTTCAGACCCCCAAACATACACGTACAAACACACTTACATAAATACACTTACATAATTGGTCGCATTGGGAGGTGATCGTAAAGCGGGGGTCCACTGTATTGTCAAGACTGCTAAATTTGCAAGAGTGTAATTCCATAAGTTTTTCATCAAATTTCATACTTTTGGCTTTGTTACATTCAGAAAAAGATTCTCTATCATTTCAAAAGAATTTTTTTTTTATTGAAAATTCTTGGAACATGGAAAACAATTCTCAGATCAGGGGTCTGGAGCCTCACAGGGTTAATGTGGAAGTGGAGAAGAATCCTTCCTCCGTAAGCCATGCGCATCATAAGAAGAGATTAAATTGCCAAGAGCAAGGGGCAAGTAACCCTGTCTCCTGTATAAATTACTAAATGTATAAATAAGAAAAGCTTCTTTTTTGGGTCACCCTGCCTTGGTGAGAAAGATCAATGTGTTAAAAAAATGTAAGTGTAACTATGCTTAATTGTATGAAAGTAAGTGAAATTTCCTTGTATAGTTTCACCACCAACATTTATGTATTTATATATAGCCTATAAAATGATGAAACCACAGAACTGTTACAAATTTCTCTTCCTCACAGATGTAGAAATTAAGAGGATTTTATCATACATCACAAGAGAAAGCTACACCACAGAAACACCTCATAATAAAATGTGATACCCAAGTAAATGAGGCATGTAAAGAACAAGTTTACAGATGAAAACTGTACTGAGGTAAAGACACCACTAACACTCCTGTTGGACTGAGAGAGAATGATGTGAGAAGCAAAACAGACAGCAATAATAAGAACATTGTAGTGGTTATCAAAAGTGCTGAGCTCCCTGACAGCAGTGCTATCAATGGAGTGGATTGACAGGAATTTGTCACAAGAGGCCAAGCCTAAGAGCCGGAGCATGATCCCATCAAAACAAGCAAGCATAAATGCACGAGTAAATGCAAGTGTCCTTTGTTAGCTACAATGCTCACAAGCTAATGTCTGCAACTAGAGCCATTCCAAAAGATATAGAAATTAAGGCTTTAATGTCATAAGCAGTTATATGCATATGCAAGGCTAAAGATGCCTTTCGTGCGATTACCTACTGTCGGAGGAGCTAAGTATGGCAGCAGCTCTTATAGAGCACACAGCCTTAGAAAACACCTATTCTCTATGACTTGACAGCCCAAACAGGTTCTTCTAACCAATATGTTGCTAAAATCCATAACACTCACAACTAAGCTTGATCTTCAAAGGGTCTTGGGGTTGGATACGAACTCCCTTGCGGCGTGGAGTTTCATCTATCATGAGGCCAGAAGATTCATTCTCGTCACTGTCACCATCCTCATGGAAGTCATATACAGACTCATTATGTATTTTTAGCTCTGAATTTTCGGGCCTGCAAAAAGAAAAAAAAATACTTGCTTAGGACAAAAGGTAACATGTACTAACATCCATTACATTCTCTCAAGTAGCTTTTAAGACAGAAATTCTATGAGAAGGACTACATTTGTTCAAACAGGTGGTGTGACGAGAATGACTAACGTTGATGATATCACTGGAGACAACATACAGCCAATCCTACACAGTCAACAGATAAAGCTTGTTAACTGGTTTGCGAGTAAGTTACAGCATTTAAGTCCCTTACTGAACCAACAGAGCTACATCTAAGGCAAAATGCTATACAGTGGACCCTCAGCTAACGATATTAATCCGTTCCTGAAAGCGCATCGTTAGTTTAAATTATCGTTAGCTGAATTAATTTTCCCCATAAGAAATAATGGAAATCAAATTAATCCGTTCCTGACACCCCAAAGTATGAAAAAATTTTTTTTACCACATGAAATATTAATTTTAATACACACAAACTGACACTTACCTTTATTGAAGATCTGGTGATGATTGATGGGATGGGAGGAGGGGAGTGTGTGGACGTTGTTAATGTTTAGAAGGGGAATCCCCTTCCATTAGGACTTGAGGTAGCAAGTCCTTCTCCGGGGTTACTTCCCTTCTTCTTTTAATGCCACTAGGACCAGCTTCAGAGTCACTGGACCTCTGTCGCACAACATATCTGTCCATAGAGGCCTGTACCTCCCATTCCTTTATGACTTTCCTAAAGTGGGTCACAACATTGTCAGTGTAATAGTCACCAGTATGGCTTGCAATAGTTGTGTGAGGGTGATTTTCATCAAAAAAGGCTTGCACTTCAAGCCACTTTGCACATATTTCCTTAATCTTTGAAGTTGGCAACTTCCTCAATTTCTCTATCCCCTCCTCCGGAGCAGTTTCCTCAGGTCTGGCCTCTTGCTGTTGAAGATGATCTTGCAGTTCATCAGTGGTTAGTTCTTAATTGTTCTCTTCCACCAACTCTTCTACATCCTCCCCACTAACCTCCAACCCCAAGGACTTCCCCAATGCCAGAATTGATTCCACAACTGGCATACACTTCACAGGGTTAGCCTCAAATCCTTCGAAATCCCTTTTGTCTACACATTCTGGCCACAGTTTCTTCCAAGTAGAGTTCAAGGTCCTCTTAGTCACTTCCTCCCAACCCTTACCTATAATGTTTACACAATTGAGGATGCTAAAGTGATCTCTCCAAAACTCTCTTAGAGTCAACTGAGTTTCTGTGGTCACTACAAAGCACCTTTCAAACATAGCTTTTGTGTAGTTTTTTTTGAAGTTTGCAATGACCAGCTGGTCCATGGACTGCAGGAGAGGAGTGGTATTAGGAGGCAAAAACTTGACCTTGAAGCTCATGTCCCCAGAAAGTCGCTCTGCCACGTCTGAAGGATCAGCAGGCGCATTGTCTAATACCAGGAGGCACTTAAGGTCCAATTTCTTTTCCATTAGGTAATTTTTCACAGTGGGGGGCAAATGCATGGTGTAACCAGTCAAAGAAAAGGTCTCTAGTGACCCATGCCTTACTGTTTGCCCTCCACAGCACACACAAATTAGCCTTGAGGATATTCTTTTGCCTGAACGCTCTGGGAGTTTCTGAGTGATACACTAATAAAGGCTTCACTTTGCAATCACCACTAGCATTGGAACACATCAACAGAGTAAGCCTGTCTTTCATAGGCTTATGTCCTGGGAGTGCCTCTTCCTCCTGAGTAATGTAGGTCCTGCTTGGCATTTTCTTCCAAAACAGGCCTGTTTCGTCACAATTAAACACTTGTTAAGGTTTCAGTCCTTCACTGTCTATGTACTCCTTGAATTCCTGCACATATTTTTCAGCCGCTTTGTGCTCCGAACTGGCAGCCTCACCATGCCTTATCACACTATGTATGCCACTACGATTCTTAAATCTCTCAAACCAACCTTTGCTGGCCTTAAATTCACTCAAATCACCACTAGTTGCAGGCATTTTTCTAATTAAATCCTCATGCAACTTCCTAGCCTTTTCACATATGATCGCTTGAGAGATGCTATCTCCTGATATCTGTTTTTCGTTTATCCACACCAATAAGTCTCTCAACATCTTCTATCACTTGCGATCTCTTATTCGAAAACAAAGTTGCACCTCTGGCAAGAACAATTTCCTTGATTGCCGTTTTCTTGGCCACAATAGTAGCAATGGTTGATTGAGGTTTCGTATACAACCTGGCCAGCTCGGAGACACGCACTCCATTTTCGTACTTAGCAATTATCTCTTTCTTCATATCCATAGTAATTCTCACCCTTTTTGCTGTAGGGGGTTGGCACTAGAAGCTTTCTTGGGGCCCATAGTGACTTATTTTGCAGGGTAAAATCACTAAAAACACTGTGATAATATGAAATGTTCCGATTGTATGCTTGGATGCAACTGCGGTGGCTGGCTTGTAAACACTGGCACCCACGGGACAAGTGAGGTGCGCTCAGGCCACACGTGGACGCATCTCAAACGAATCGCGTTGGGTGAGTTTTTTAGCGCTAGCTGAGGCAAAATTTTTGTGCTAAAATGTATCACTAGCCGGATTTAACGTTAGGTAATGCCATCATTAGCGGAGGGTCCACTGTACTATCAAAATAACCTTTTGATTCATAGCTAAGATAGCCTAATATTTCAAAGAAAAATACAACATACATCATAAATACTGATGAATTTAAGTACATGTTGAAAACATAACTGCATGCAGTCTCTCATTTAAATTCTTTTTCATTATTTCTGTGAAGACTACATGAACATTTATGCTGTAGTTCTACTCCTCAGCCTTCTGTTCCTCAAATACTCCAATTATAATCCTCTATCTTAGTTACTTTTACCATTATCCCTTTGCTTACTTAAAACTGTGTAATGTACCATAAGATGCTTCAACTGTAGTGTGTACAGCATATGTAGTGCATGTGTCATTCTACTTTTCATATTCTTAGGTGAATTACACATTTCACTCAGCATTTATGCTACATTCCAAATTCAGATAATTTTTAGACACCTAAATTTGCATCTCCTTGAAATGCTTAAAATCTCAATTATTTTCTTTCTTTTTTCAACAAACTGCCCTTATCCCACCAAAGCAGGATGGCCCAAAAAAAGAAAAACTAAGTTTCTCTTTTTCACTTCAGTAATATATACAGGAGAAGGGGTTACTAGCCCCTTGCTCCCGGCATGTTGGTCGCCTCTTACGACACGCACGGCTTACAGAGGAAGAATTCTGTTCCACTTCCCCATGGAAATAAGAGGAAATAAACAAGAACAAGAACTAATAACAAAATAGAGGAAAACCCAGAGGGGTGTGTATATATATATGCTTGTACATGCATGTGTAGTGTGACCCAAGTGTAAGTGGAAGTAGCAAGAGGTACCTGACATCTTGCATGTTTATGAGAGAGAGAGAAAAAAAGAAAAAAAAAAAAGACACCAGTAATCCTATCATCATGTAAAACAATTACAGGCTTCCATTTTACACTAACTTGGCAGGATGGTAGTACCTCCCTGGGTGGTTGCTGTCTATCAACCTACTACTAATTCACACACGTACTTCTTTTATTGCCAGAAATAAGTATGCACTTAATGTGGCCAAATACTTGTATAGGTTAAATAAATTAGTGCCATAGGTTTGACATAAGCTCTAATATCAATGATGATCTTGCCATCTTACAGCTATCCAATGAATGGACCAGTGTGTTATTTCAGCCTTAAGAATGCTGTAAAGAGACCATTTTCCAATTACTGAAGGCAACCGAGGGAGCAATAATAAAAATGATAATCAAATTAAGTGCTAAACCCAAAAGGGTCATACAATGCTGCAGGTTGGGATGTGTGTGAGGAGAAATGTGCAAAGGTGATGAGAGTAAAGGGAAGGAATGCACAAGTGTAGGGATTAGTGAGGTAGGGTAGACTGCAAAAAAAGTAAAATCACAGTTAGTGCAATAAAACAGTCTCTGCTTGAAAGGCCAAGAAAGTGTGTCTGCATCAAAGATGGGACATTC